TTTGCTTGTTCATATCACAGTGCTGACAGCGTAGTCATTAAATGACACATACATTCCAGAGAAATGAGCATGCATGTGTCAAAAAGGAAGAGATGACTGTGACAGCCTGAAGTTCTCTCTCCTAAAATTTCCTTGAGAACATGAACTCAGCCAGTGCGTGGTCACTGCAGGTGAGGCTGCCTCTGATTTTAACAGCTTTTATGATCTCTTGCATGTTGGTGTGCACCATGTCCAGCAATACTGCACCTCTGATGGGTCTGTCCAATATCTGAACCAGAAAGTTGTCAGTGGACTCCAGGAATCTCCTGGACTTCTTTGGAACCTTGTCTCGTTTTCCCAGTAGTGTGGTTGAAATCCTCCATCAGAATGAGAATGAGCCTATGAGTGTGATGCCTCTTGCAGCTGAATCAAGAAGGCCTTGTCAACAGGTTCCCCTTGATCAGGTAGCCTGTAGTAGACCCTGGCTAGCAAATACCCTTCATTGGTCCAGTCCCGATTTTAACCCACAAGCTATCAACTGATTCATGTTTCTCAGGGGCAGCTGTGCACAGTCTATCCACTTCTTAACATAGAAGGCTGCTCCCCCACCTCTCCTACCTCACCTGTCTCTTCTAAAAAGCTCACTGCCCTCAATCATGGTATTCCACTTAAGTCATCCCATCATGTTTCTGTGATAGCAGTAAGTTCAGTTTTCGAATTGCACCACGGTTTCCAATTCCTCCTGCTCATTTCCCATGCTGCATGCATGCATACAGAGGGACTTAAGTTGGAATTTTGGTCAAATTGCCTTCTTGAAGGAGCCTTCCCAAAAACCTCTGGGAAAAATCTGAGTCTTTCTCCTGCTGCTTCCTAAAGTGATTGTGTTCCCTGACTCTTCTCTGTTCCTCAGCAGTACATACCCTTCCCCCACCAAATCTAGCTTAAAGCCCTGGTAATGAGCCACACCATCTTGCTGCTCAATACATTCATCATATGCAGCAGGTTGAGGGCCCCTACTAGCACCTTGTCTGTCTAACTTAGATATGCTATCCCACACTTTGTCGTGGGCAGGCTTGCTACCACCCCTTCAAACCTAATTTAAAGTCCTGTCAATGAAACCAGACAGCTCCTTGGCCAGAATTCTTTTCCCTATATGACTTTGGTGAACCCCATCATCAGCCATAAGGTGAGGTCCCCCATGGCTAAAAAAGCCAAAATTCCTGTGGTGCCACTGGCCTCTCAGCAACATATTTAGCAGATGGGTTTGTGTGGTCCTCTCAGTATCCCTACTGCCATTGAAGAGATAGACAAAAATACCATCTGTACTCCCACTAAGTTATAACATAAATTACATTATAAATAGATACATAAATATATCAACTAAATTACAGTTATAGTGAAATTCTCTTCTTAAGAAGGATTGATGGACACCCATGCTATGATTCACACAACACTTTTTCATCTGAGATAGGCATCATGTGTCACTTAGAGAAGCTGCGAATGCCTCGTCCTTGGAAATGTTCAAGGTCATGTTGAATGGGCTTAAGAGCAATTTAGTGTAGAGGAAGGTGATACTGCCCGTAGCAGAGGAGTTGATGGGGTCTTTAACGTCTCTTGCAACCCAAGCCATTCTATGATTCTGTGATTCCATCATTTAAATCAGCTGGCCATATAGTCTTCCTATGTTATTCCATACACAAAGAAACCGTGTGGAAGCAAGTCACAGTGGGTTACCAATCCCAGAAATACCCATGCTGTGGAATGTACATTTTTATCAGCACTATTGGGAAATTCATCTGCCTGCCCTGCTTGACCATCCATGTAGAAGAGAAGCTGAGGTACTGAATGAGCTCTTTGCCTCGGTCTTCACTGGCAGCCAGGATTCCAGTATTTCTCATGTCCCTGAGCCCTGCATCCCTAAACCTCTAGGTGGGGACTGGGGCAGTAAATCCCCCCCACTGTAAGGGCAGAGCAAGTCCGAGACCGCCTCATGAGACTGAATGTGTACAGGTCTATGGGGCTGGATGGTGTGCATGCCAGGGCTCTGAAGAAGCTGGGTGAGGTGGTTGCCGAGCTGCTCTCCATCATGTTTGGAAAGTCATAGCTATCAGGTGAGGTCCCGGATGACTGGAGGAAGGGTCACATCACTCCCATTTATAAGAAAGGGAGCAAGGAGGACCCAGGGAACTACAGGCTCACCTCCGTGCCTGGGAAGATCATGGAACGGATCCTCCTGGACAACATGCTCGATCACATAAAGAATGAGCTGTGATCCGAGACAGCCAGCACGGCTTCACCAAAGGAAGGTCATGCCTGACTAATCTTGTGGCTTTCTATGATGGAGTGACGGCATTGGTGGATGAAGGGAAGGCGACCAATGTCATTTACCTGGACCTGAGCAAGGCCTTTGACATGGTCCCCCACCACATCCTTATCTCCAAATTGGAGGGATGTGGATTTGATGGGTGGACGACCCGATGGGTAAGAAATTGGTTGAAAGGCCACAGACAAGGCTGGTGATTAATGGTTCTATGTCAGGTGGAGGCTGGTAATGAGCAGCGTCCCCTAGGGGTCTGTCTTGGGACCGGTGCTCTGTAACATGTCTATCAGTGACATCGATGATGGAATTGAGTGCACCCTCAGCAAGTTTGCTGATGACATCAAGCTGAGTGGTGTGGTTGACACAGTTGAATGAAGGGATGCCATTCAGAGGGACCTCAGCAGACTAGAAAAGTTGGTCTGGAAGAATCTAATGAGGTTCAACACAGCAAAGTGTGAGGTTTTGCACTTGGGCCGGAGGAATCCCAGGCATCCGTACAGACTGGAAGGAGCAGTCCTTGAGAGCAGCCCTGCAGAGAAGGACCTGGGGGTCCTGATGGATAAAAAACTTAACATGAGCCAGCAGTGTGCTTCTGCAGCTCAGAAAGCAAATGGCATCCTGGGCTCCATCAGCAGAGGGGTGGCAGCAGGGACAGGGAGGTGATTGTCCCCCTCTACTCTGCTCTTGGGAGGCCCTATTTTGAGTACTGTGTCCAGGTCTGGAGCCCCCAGTACAAGAAAGACAGAGAGCTGTTGGAGAGGGTCCAGAGGAGAGCCACAAAGATTATCAGGGGACTGCAGCATCTCCCCCACAAAGACAAGCTGAGGGAGCTGGGCTTGTTCAGCCTGGAGAAAAGAAGGCTGTGGGGTGACCTCATTGCAGCCTTTCAGTACCTAAAGGGAGCCTAAAAACAGGAGGGGAATCAACTCTTTGAAAGGGTCGATAACTGCAGGACAAGGGGAAATGGTTTTAAGTTGAGGGAGGGAAGATTAAGTTGGATGTCAGGAGGTAGTTCTTTAATGGTGAGGTGCTGGAACAGCTGCCCAGAGAGGCTGTGGATGCCCGTCACTGGAGGTGTTCAAGGCCAGGTTGGATGGGGCCCTGGGCAGCCTGGTTTAGCATTAAATGTGGAGGTTGGTGGCTCTGCCTGTGGCAGGGGGTTGGAGCTTCATGATCCTTGAGGTGCCTTCCAACCCTGGCCATTCTGTGATTCTGTGATTCTGTGATTCTGTAAAATGGTCAGTCAGCCCCTGAGGAAGAAAATATTTGTTTTTCATCTCTTCTGAAACCTTTAACTGTATGAAAGTTTTCTGTCTACACAGGGCAGTTTCTCTCCATCTCCTTCTGCAAGGTCCAAGGATAGCTCTGTATTTTATTTAATTTTTACTTTCCCCACCAGTTACACTGCATGGAGGAGCAGAAACTGCTGCTGTAGTTGCTTCCAACTATGAGAGTGTGAAACCCGGAAAATGAACCCTACCTAAGACAGTATGATTGCTACTGAGTGGGAAAAATGAGGGTCAAAATTGAATGAACAGACAGGAAAATAAAAAACAGAGAAAAACATTCTCTTAAACTATGTCAGCCGCCCATTTCTTCCTTACAACAGTCATATGGGAAATGGGGCAGGAGAAATAAAAGGGTTAAGAACAAGGACTAAGCCCGTAAAACCAAGCAGGCTTGCTGAAACAAACAAACCCTTTCATACTAAGTTGAATTTGCCTGGTGCAATATTTATACTTGGGCAATAAATACACAAAAAGCCTTATTATTTTGCCAGTGAGCTAAAAATACCCTTCAGGCGAAGTCAAAGCCCTTTCTTCCTAATTTGAGACTCCAGTGCAAAGTGGAGTTCTCTCTTATGCAGACATAGTTTGTTTTTGTGAACCTTAAAAATAAGCTTCCAGAAAGCTGTTGCTGAGTAAGTGCTAAACCACAGACCTTGCACCATCTTAGTCTACCACTCAGCACTTCAGGAAGTGCTGGTAAATTGTGCATTCATAACAATGTGACTCCTAGAATATTCCTCAGCCCACATCTTTTTTCAAGTTTCCCTATCCACCCTTCTTGTCTTCTCTGTGTCAGTTTTGCTCAGCTTAAAGCAATGAACCAACCTGTCACTTATACCCTAGAAAAACAGGTATAAGTTGAGGATGACTGTCATGCCAGAAAGCTGGGAAGAGTCAACAGAATGTCAGAATGTGTTTTCAATACTCCTGCTACCTCAGCCTTTCACAGACACACACACACACAAACACACACAGACACACAGACACACACACACACAAACACACACAGACACACAGACACACACAGACACACACACACACAGACACACACAGACACACACACACACAAACACACACAGACACACAGACACACACAGACACACACACACACAGACACACACAGACACACACACACACAGACACACACACACACAGACACACACACACACAGACACACACACAGACACACAGACACACACACAGACACACACACAGACACACACAGACACACACAGACACACACAGACACACAGACACACAGACACACAGACACACAGACACACAGACACAGACACACACACACACAAGCAGTGCCTTTTTTTCCGCAATTCACCATTTTCCATCTATCACAAAAAACATTACTTCAACTGGCAGACTTCAGAGATGGGTGGTAATAATGCAAACGACAAAGCTACAGTATTCTCAGCTTTTATTTAGAAAAAAAGAAAAAAACTGACATCACATTTACATTTCAGAGTATTTTTAAATAAGGCCTTTTTGTTAAAGCTTTAGATACTTAAAAAGGGTCTACATGATTCACACCTGAATGGAGCTTTGCAAATCACACAGTAGTCACCAGACAGCTATATTGCACAGAGATCCACACAATATCACACCATTCTTAGCTTAGTCCACATTGTAAAGTGCTGTTTTGTAGGAAGAAAATTGTTTTGGAAAAGTAAGTGTCAGTGTAGGCATGTACTACTGAACTGTATCTCTGACAGGTGGAAAAAATCATTTGCCTCTGACAGTCAGCTTCTATTTAATAAACTGGAGCAAGCGCCATATAGCACTGCGATGAAAACCCTTACATCCAAGGCATTCTACACCAAAAGCCATACCAATTTTAAAATGATGAATGAGATACTTACAAACTGACATACCAAAAGGCAGGTAAGTGTTTTCAGTAATACCAGCCTGTGTCCAGTAGAATAAGTAATTGCATAGCAGAGCACATCTTCAATGAATGGCAAAGATATAGTAGGAAAAAAACTGAATTCTTCTTCCTTTACTTCTGTTTTCTTAAATCACTACCTTTTTTTTGCCCCCTTCTTTTAAAAGATAGTCCTTCAGAATGACTTATCTTCACATTTAAGATGCTGTGGCTATTTTATGACAATTTTCATAAAGTAATGAAAAGCTAAAGCCTGGTCATATTGGTCCAGATGCTTCTAAAGATGTAAGTGTGGAACTGTAGAGTGGTAACTGAGACATAAAACCTGTAATTTATAACAACTTCTAAAACAGAAGAATTAAAAAATGAGATACTTACCTGTAGAAAGAGATTTGATCTGGGAATAACAGACTAGGAAATCCGACTCTACAATCTGTAGCTTTAAACCGATATTTGGTAGATAAGTGGAAGAAGGAAAATTGCACACTGGGATAAGCCATAGCTAAAGAAAAGGGAATCCTGACTTCTGAGTCTGACTGATAACTTGAGTAACAAAGAGCACTTGTAATCTAGTCCATAGAGCATACAAAAATGTAAGGATTTCCAGTGGCAGAATAACAAAAAACAGATTGAAGGAATGGTACATTTTATCAGCGGGAATAAAACTGCTCTGTCTCATTATAACTGAAGCTGCTGCAAGAGTAGGTAAAGACTTGTGTTTACTATGCAGGAAGGCCTCAGTACCAAGTGACTAGGTAAGATGGCAGAACAGACTCAATCTTATTAAATGCAAAATAATACATCAGATGGGGAAGCCTTGTACGTGTGCAGCTTGTTCAGAGCTAACCATCAGGATCATGTGGAAAATTCTATGGAAGATTTGTCCTTTGATCAGTTTAATATCTGGTATGGACCAAAAAGATAAGTTTTAAGATTAAAGAAAGAAGCAAATCCCAGATCTTTCATCATCCTTCACAGCTAGAGAGCCAGTCTCATAAGATAAGAGGACCAAAGAATCGTAACATTTGGAAAAGACCTCTAAGACCAAGGCAAGTGGTCAATCCACCACCAGTGGTGCCCACCTGCAATTTTCAGGTCATTCACTGCTCTACAGCTATACACAGGTATTTAGTAAACATACTTCACATTCATCAAGATGCAACATTATATCCCCAAATTCATAAAAAATTGAGTGTATTTTAGAAACGTCCTTCACTTCAGAACCTTGTTTTTCAGTAATTAAAATTAACAGTAGAAGTACTCAAACGTTTGATTTCTGCTTGTGTAAATTTCTTCCAAACAGATGCAAGCACTACAACATGTTACAGTGTTTAACATGAGCGGAACAGAAATCTGAACAGAGATGCCTTGTAAGGCAGAAATTGAGTCTCAAAACTGAATCAGTGATTCAGTTTTATCATTCTTACTAATGATTTTATCATTCTTACTAAAAACTTTGTACTTATCTTACAAAATAAGTACTTATTTACTTTTGCCTAAAACCAGGTACTGCTTGCTACTCATACATGCAAAAACTTCAGATATCAGACTTGGAAGTCTGACATTTAGGGTCAAATTGCACTTTATATATTTTATGTCTACACTAAAAGCCTGGAACAGGTCATGAACTTACAATTATACCATCAACTCTACATCAGGTGTTAGAACTACTTTCAGCTTACAGTTACATTACACTTATATGAAATTAAGTTTCTAGTTTAACCTCCTCCTTCCAAACACAGCCTAAATGTTCACCTGCAGTTTTCATTTCTCACTGCTTTTTATTCTATTAGTGCAATTTTGATCCTGCAGATGCATGAAGACAGGTATCTCAAAGAATAATGGCAATCATATCCTGTCAGTTTGGTCTGTTAAACTCAAAACTGACTATATGAGAATCTATGTTACATAAAAGGCAGATTTCTATCCCTGAAAAGTAATTTTGGTTGTTAGTCAAACTTCCTTCCCACCTTCCCTAGGAGGAAGGTTTGTGGAGATCATCATCACACAGATCACAAGAAAGGCAGGAGAGTTCCTGGAAGAACATTTCCTTTTGTTGGAAATGTCTGAACTACTCAAACAAACAAACAAACAAACAAACAAACAAAGCAACACAGAAGTGTGACCCAAAGTCTCGTGTACAGCTCTTAGGTATACTGTATTTGAATCAGGACTGAAAACAAAGGTGAAATGCTCCTGCTCTTATTTTTAATTTCAGAACAGCAACAGTAGAGCACTAACCTACAGGTCATCTTGGTATTCCACGTACTTTGCTGGGATGGCTTCCTTGAGATGAACTGCTGCACCACCCATTAAGGCAAATGTTGGGTACATTATGCCTGAGCATTCCACCTCGCACTCGTACAGGCATTTCATGTGGCTGGCATCATAAAAGCCCACCTTGCCATTGTCACAGTCAAGGCAGATCCCCATGCAGGAGGGCAGGGGAAGGATTCTTGCTGCATCCTTGGGGTCAGCAGCTTCCTTCGGGTCAGCAGCTGCCTTGGGGATGAAAAACTTCTTCATGCCCACAGTGACCAGTGTGAAAGGCTGTGATGAATCCAAACAGGCATCTTCACTGCCACTGTCATGACCACTGTCTTGTTCAGATCTAGAACAGAAAAATAACCATTTGCTCTTGTCAGATTCACAAATACTGTCTGCAATGTGAGCTAAAGAAAACATTTCTGTAAGACGAGTAACACTATACAAACACCAAAAGCTTGTAGGGTAAAAATGCAACAGTGCTGGAAGGAAAGATATGTTTCATGAGTGAACAGCCACTTGGGCTGCTTGAAACAGCTGACAGGAGCTGAATTAACGAAGGTTTTGTTAAGGAGCTGTTAAGTTCCAAGTTTATCTAAACCTACTTATGCTAGGTAATGATTAATGAACCTACCAGGTACAGTAAATTAGGTAACTGGACAGATAGTTCTGCAAATATGATTTATCATTACAGGCAGGATACGTTTAACTTTATTTACATAATATTAAATAACACCAATAAATACATTACTCTTGTTCTAAGAGGTTTCCATGCAACTGCCATATTACACTGACTACACTAAGCAACTTAAGATAGGAGCATTTTTTTCAGTTTTATTACATTGCGTAGGAAGAAGCCAGCACACCTGTTAAGATATGAGGCTACAGTCTTCAGACAAAAACTTCCCAGCCTTCCATTTCTAGATATATCTGAGTTTACTGTATCTGTAATTGAGAACTGGAAACCTTTGTGCTGGTTTCTTCACAGTATTCTGACTTCTGCTCAGCAGCAATCCAAAAACGATATGCAAGCAACTTGGAATCCATCATGATGCAAGCTACTACACAGAGAACTCTGTGAGCTTTGTACCTGTGAGCAGATGACAATCTGCCACGCTAATGGTCTACCTAATGACAACCAAGAATTGCTTCAGTCTCACAGCTAATGGACTTCTTTCCACTTTCTTGCTTTAACTGATGTATCTCAATATTTGTACAAACCTGACTTCCTTCCAAAAAAGAAAGATGATGGGCTCTCTACTGAAAGCAGGGAACAAGAAAAGGAATAGGACAACCTGCATATATCATTTGCTTCAAGCTACTTTCCACTGGTTAGGTTCAAGTTTGTCAATTGAGACTACATTTGCTTTTAAATTATTAGAATAAAATAAAACAAAACAAAACAAAATAAAATAAACCCAACCATCTTCTTGTACAAAACACGTTTCATGCACATGCCTGGAATTTACCTTGGGCTTGTCACATCATGTGTATTGTGGAAAAATTTCTGTATCCTGGTGCTAGAAACAACTCCCACTTTTACCAGGTAAGAATAAGCCTCCACATGAAAAGCCCAGAAGTGCTTCCCTTTGGCAATACCAGTGTCACCAATGATGTAATTCAGGGTTGTGTAGCATCCGAACTGCATGCGTTCAGCTCTTAGCAGTAAAGGAAATCCAGCCCTGCTTTCCACAGACGTTCTTTCTGGGTTCAGCAGGAGACGTTCACTGTTGTACCCGCATTTGTCATCAAAAAGAAAGCTAAGAACTGAAAAATAGTATTCCAAGAGTCTGCTGTTAGTTAAGCATTTTTTGGCTTTCTGTGCTTACAAACTGCATCTTAACATACATCGGCATTACAAATTCTCACTATGAAAAGCTATTAGGGTTGTCATGCAGGCTAATAATCGCAGTATGATAATTAACCTGTTTATTACAGTGCTTCTATGCATATACATACAACCAATAATGGGATAGAAGCCTGGGAACTGTAGGTGGTTTCCAGTGCAGGTGGACATAAGCAAAGCCAGTACCTGGAGCAGGAGGTGTACGCAAAATAACTTCTTTGCTCCACGAGCTACACATGGACCCTTTGTATCCTCGAACTCTAAAGGCGTAGCTACTGTCTTCATCAAGATCAGGTATGACTTTGCTCTTGCTGCAAACTTCAACCTCCTGCCACATCACACTCTCCTCTTCTCTACTAAGCTTGCGATACTGAAGAACGTACATTTCAGCAGAGTCTGTCTTCTTGGAGGACTCCCAGCTGATCACAGCTTTGTTATACATTCTGCATTGCTCCTCATTGATTTCTGGTACTTCCAGACCTGGAAGGCCATAGATTGAGGAGAAAAAATCCAGAAGTTCAGATATTTAGATATACATTGTTTTAGAGTGATCTATACCTTCTCCACTCAGGAGCTTAGCAGCGTGGAAAATAATTTGATTTGCACAGTTAAAGGTGACGCTGCCTGTGTTCCTGCACACAAATGAATTCCTTAGTTTCTGCTTTTAATTTGGAAGTTGTGCTATTAATTTGTGCAAGCTGCTGGAAAAAAAAAAAAACCGGCATTAAAAATGCCCACTTTTTTTCTGCGCACACAACAAGCTTCCACTAAGATTTAATCGTCATTAACTACAGTATTTTAGAAGCCATTGTAAACTGGTACTGAAGTTGATGACATCCCAGCTTGCCTGTCAGAGCAAATAGGTAATGCTGATAGGTAATGCTGTGTGGATCATGAAGACAGAAGGATCAGTGCAAGTCAGGGCACCTCACGGAGATGTGCAACTGCAGCCCTGCATAAATTCTCACCCTTTCTAGAGAAGCTCTTAAAGCTGTAACTCAACAAAGAGTTGATGTTCTCACAACTTACCACTGGAATAGAAGGATAAGTCATCAAGGATCACTTCTTGCTTGGTTGTGTCCACCACAAAACCTTCAAAAGAGCTTTCAGCTGCTGGCCGGAAGCTCTTCAGAGATTCAGTAGCTTTTTGGATTCTAAAAGCACAGGAGTGGAGGGATGGCAGACAGAAGAAAAGGGAATGTATAAATGTACATTTCTGAAAACATAAATGCTAGCTTTTACTTACTGAAGCCTCATTTTCTTTACTAGGCAGAATTTAAATTCAAAGATTAAAATCGTTATGCACATGAAGGTAAGAACAGTGAACAAATAAAAGTTCAAATAGCAGATTATCTTCAAAGTTTTTTGCATTCTGTTCAAAGAACAAAACAGATGTGAAGTGCTAATGGAGACCAACTGTTAAATCAGAAGTGTAAAGTCGGAAGAGACCTGTTAGATTAACTTGCAAATAGCTGATATAATCACAGTGCAAAGGAATGTGTCAGTGAGCTGAACAGACTGCTGTTCCACTGCAGTTCTACTAAGCAGGGCTAGATGCTTTAGAAGGACAGAATCCCTTTGGTGCGCTACTTCTGAACACACACTGTACCACAGTAATCTCTTCTGAACTGCAGCTGGACTGGTTATGAGGTTCTGCAATAAAAGGTACTACACCCAGAACTCTGCTAGCAAGTGTTAAGATAACCTACGTGACCAGACGTTGTGCAGCAGCAGAACCTGTACCTAACCCAGACAATAACCAAGATACCTGACGTGAAGTTGTTTTGCTGTTTGAACAAAACAGGACTGATCAGTTTCTTTAAGCACTTCTTGAGCATATCCTACAAGGCCATTGTTTTCCAGGAGACCTTGATATTCTTCTGCTTGGGTTCGCAATTTGTCCAGCCTTATATTCTTAGACACTTCAATTGCCCTAAGAGCTGCAGACTTCTTCTCCTCCAGGATATTAATTAATTTCTCAAAACTCTGAGATGCTTCTTCTTTAGCTCTTTCCCCATTGCACTAGGAAAGAACAAAATACATTTTAAACCAATCTCATTGCTCTGTGTCTGTGTAAGGAAACACAAAGGGTTTTTTTATGAACTGTAACAGCAATTCAATCATCTGCTTGGAAGATTTACAGCTTTGTTATACTGTTAAAGAATGAAAAGAGAAACAACATTGCAAGTTAGTATATATTTACTATCTTAACACTGAGAACGAAGAGCAGGAAATTATTTCTCAGATTATGCCCTGAATTATACAGGACATTTCTCTGCCTAAACAGCTCACGGAAGAGCACTGTAGAAGGTGGGTCTGAAGCCTTCATGCCCAAGAGACTTCTCACTGTAAGAGGCTGAGAAGCAAATGGCTTAATGTCCCAAACACTTGGTAGGAGAAAAGGAGATGCTGGAGGAGGAGACCTTAACAAGGCAAGACACTACTTCTCCAGATGGATTTCCTTATCTTCTGAGACTATGAAGACCTGTTCAGCAACATCACAAGAACTTACTGGGGGGAGGGAGAGATGCTCAACAAGGAGTCTTTTGGGCAGTGGGAAAGTGAGACACCTGAAGACCCTCCAACCTATGGACCAATTTCCAGCGTATTCTAAGCCCCAAACTGCACTTGAGCAGCTGTAGTGTCATATCTCAGTCTGACAACCACTTGAGACCCCAGCTCATTTCTGGCACATTCTGAAGGACTGTACATGCTCAGCAGAACTGCACATATTGTGACTTGAGCTCCGCTTTAGTGGGGGGGACTGTGAGCACATGAAAGTCAAAAGACTGCAAAAGGCTCGTGTGCTCAGCAACACAGAAACAATCCTGACTGCTGTGACACTGCTGGATTCAAGGGCTGTAATGCAAGGCCCATCATCATAGCTCACAGCCAGTAAGATACAGACATATAAATCTAAGTATCATAGTGAGATCCAAGCAAATGTTTAACTGAGTGCTTGGTGCTGTTTCATCTTAATTTACCACAGGGGATCTCAAACCTTGTGACCTCTGTATGTTTCCCAAGGTAGCCCAGTGTCACGTCGCAACACCCAACTCCCTCGGAGCAACAGGACCACTCTTGACTGCTACCTCAGATAGATGCACAGATATGATCTGCATCCAGGAAAGGGCAGGGCCAGGAGCTCCTCCAATTTCTGTCAGTTTTGCATTTTGCATGCAAAGAATATCCCCACCTCTGTCTTCTATGCAGAGTTTTTTATCTTAACTCTGACTTCACTGCAACATCCTCAAAATAATTTAAAAACATAAGCAGTGCATTGCCTTTGATACAGAGAGCTTTAAGTCCAACTCATTTATCTTTGACTGGAGTATCAAATAAGCCTTATTTCAAATTTACACTGGGAACCAAAACGTCCCCTTCCTCTGTACACTGCCTAAATTTCCCATACTGTTCGAATGGCTTTAAAGTGAGAAGACTAACACAACTTTTACAGAAATTGTTTCAAATTAACCCTCCAGCCCTCAATATAGCCAGTGAAACACTGCGCTGGAAACAGCTCCAGCCCTTGCTGTGTCCCTTCGAGGACTAATCCTTCAAAACAGCAAATCATTATTACCTCTGTTTCTTTCAGCAGAAGACCCAGCTGTGAGATGTGAGCTTTTACTTGGCTCTCCTTACTGATGAGATACTCTATATCTTTTGAAAGCTTCTCCTATTAAAACAGAATAGCAAACAATCAGATCAAGGACTTCCAAACCAAACACATCAACAGCAGGAATAAGTCACTCAGTAAATATTCAGTTTACCTTGTAGCCTACTATCAGTGAAAGTCATAGAATCAGGGAATCACCAAGGTTAGAAAGACCTTATTTAGTCCAACCATCCACCTACCACCAAAATTTCCCACTAAAGCATGTCCCTCAGTACAGCATCTACACATTTCTTCAAGGTTTCCAGGGATGGTGACTCCGTCACCTCCCTAGGCAGCCTAGGTCAGTGTCTGACCTCACTCTTAGAGAACAAGTATTTCCTAACATTCAACCTGAATCCCCCCTGGCACAGCTTGAGGCCATTCTCTCTCATCCTATTGCTAGTTATATGGCAGAAGAGGCCAACCCCCACCTCACCACAACCTCCTTTTAGGTAGTTACGGAAAGCAATAATTTCACCCATGAGCCTCCTCTCATCCAGACTGAACAATTCCAGCTCCCTCAGGCACTCCTCGTAAGACTTTTGCTTCAGACTCCTCACCAGCTTCATTGCCCTTCTCTGAACACACTCCAGGGCCTCATTGTCTTTCTTGTATGAGAGCCCCAAACCAAACACCATACTAAAGGTGCACCCTCAATGCTGACTACAAAGGGATGATCACTTCCATGTTTCTGTTGTCAGCAGTGTTTCTGATACAAGCCAGGATGCCAGTGGTCTTCTTGGCCACCTGGGCACAATACTGGCTCATGTTTACCCAAGCACTGATCAACACCTCTAGGTCTGTTTCTTCTATGCAGTCTTCCAGCCACTCCGCCCCAAGCCTGTACCATTGCCTGGGGCTGTGGTGGCCAAAGGCAGGGCCCAGCACTTGGTCTTGTTGAACTTCATCCCACTGGCCTCAGCCCAGCGATCCAGCCTGTCCAGATCCTACCCCCAGGAAGAGCAACACTTTCTTGGCACTTGCTGTCATCTGCAAACTTACCAAGCGAGTACTCAATGCCCTCATTGAGGTCATCAGTAAAGATATTGAAGAGGACAGGCCCCAGTACTGACTCCTGGGGAACACCAACTCATGACTAGTCACCAGCTGGATTTAACACCACCAGTCTCTGCGCCTGGCCATCCAGCCAGTTCTTTATCCAGCAAAGAGTGTATCAGTCCAAGCCATGGGCTGTCAGCTTCCCCAGGAGAATACTGCAGGACACAGTGTCAAAGCCTTTGTAAGTCAATGCTGTAAAGAACTGTTGAGTTTCCCCAAATGACCACACTGACAGATTCTTTTGAGCAAGCAACACAAAGCAACTGAAGAAGGCTCATTCCTTCCCAGAGATGTCATCTTCTCTTCAGCTGAGGAACCAGAAGCTCAAGAACATTATTATAACTTACAGAAAAGCCCTACCTGTTATAAATTCATTTCTAGTAAGATTTATTAAAGAAATGAGTGGCTCGAAGCAGAGCTTATGTGTGTCTCTGCACTTCCCTATCTTCAAAAGCTAACATCAGTACAGCTTTGCAAATAAGCAAGGAGGTCAGAAAGCAGAAAGGAAAAATATGTCTCTCTTTTTTTCCTTTTTTTTTTTTTCCCCATTCTTTCCCTCTTTCCCCCCCCCCCCCCTTTTTTTTTTGTGGATAAGAGGTAGAGAAGAAGAAAGGGGAAAAGATAGCAGCAGTCATTTTGTAGTAACAAAACAATGTTTGCAAGTCTTCTTTATTGTACCGTACTTAGTCAATTAACAACCATGCAGCTTCAGCAACACGCAAGGTCACACGAGACACTTCAGTTTCAAATTGTTTTGACGTGCTTTTGAAATGTCAGTTCACCCAAGATACAAGGGAACCAGCCTGAAACTACCCAGTGGTACCAGCCAAACTGCCAACTATTAGTGGTTTAAACTTTCTGGAAGGGTCAGTACTGCTGCACAAATGGCTAAATTAAGGGGAAGCACTTTGAAAGGGTCACAGAAAAATTATTTTCTCAGATATGCTAAGTCACATTAATATGTACACTAACAGAGCTTGCACAACAGCATGACCCATGTCCTCCAAGGACATGTGCAGGCTTCCCGCCAGAGAGAGTTTGCCCTTACAACAGCAGCTCAGTGTACTTTCTCTTCTTAAGTTCAGGTCAAACAACGCTTACTGTTACCTTCAGAGTTTTATAGGCAGTGCTCATTGCTGTTATCCTGTGGTTTGCATGAGATCCACCCAGTTTACAGAGATGGCAGACAGGCCTTCTGCAGATTTCACAGTACATGTTCACTTTCTCCATTTCATGTTCTGGACACATCAGAACCTAAAAGAGAGAGCAAAGAATGAAAGACTATTTCCAAAAAGAAACCATTAAAGCAAACAGCCGTCCCAAGGCAGCATCTAGTTCCTCTAATGGATTTTTCATATATTCAACTTACAGGCCATATGTTTATGTTTGTCCACAATTTTATGTCTATGTACACACCGAGTAGCCTCCATATTGCAGTTAATCATCTTGCTAATCTCTGAAGTTCTTTGCATGCTGTAAAATACCTGTAGCCATGTTCAGAACTGTGAATGCAATATATACAACACACTCACCCTCTCAAATTCTACTGGCTCCAGGTCAACACCTCAGTTCTCTCTCAAAAGAGCTACGACTTGTTTCTTAAAGCAAGAGTTGGCATAATACAGGAGCGATTTAAATCTAATCTAGGCTCAGAACAGCTACATAGCTACAGCTCTTGGAGCGAAATACAGCCTCTAACATCACTCACAGTCTGTTTAAAGATAAAAAGCTGTTTCATTTACTGTTTCCCATCTGATTCCAATTACAATTGTTCACTCAAATATCAGCCTCAATATTCTGAAAAGTCTGGCACTCGCTAACAATCATCTTTCAAAAACTGAACATGTATGATGGAGTAACTGCTAAATGAGGGAGAAAAATGTCCAATTCCAAGCTCAAAGAGCAGACATACACACCGAAAAAGGAGGTGGGGAGAAAAGCCAAAATAAAGACAAAATTCCAGTAGCATAAAAATGGACACACGAAATGAAAACTGCTGGCCATCCTTGAAACCAGCTCTCAAGACCATATTTTATCTTGGCCTATGATGAGAGGCAAAAGATACTAGTCTCACTAGCACCCTGGTATACAGTATTATCATTAAGCAGAACACATGATAAGCTACCCAACTGTCACTCTCTGGTTGATTTAATTAAAAAAAAACAGGAAGAAGAAACTTTCAGCAAAATCAGCTGTGGCAAAAGGCATCTCCAAAGAACTGCAATCATCTCCTATCCCACAGAAGTCATTTTTTCCACAGCACTGTCTGGCCACACTTAACAGAAACCAAATATTTTTATTTACCTCTTGCATAAATCGTAAGTGTAGCCTGCAAACTACAGACAGAAAAAGCAGATTATCTTGTCTAGCTCTCTAAAAATTCAAGAACAATCACTCTACTGTGTGCTTCTCACATCCCCACCACACACATTACAAAGTGCTCTGCAGTCTAGTTTCAAATTAATGATACAACCAGGAACATTATTTAGGAGACTCTTTCATTCAGTTTTGATCTTAACAACGTACTGTAATTAAAAATACACTTTTCTTTCCTCATACTAAACTCAGTCCTCAAAAATATAACGAGAGATTTACTATTGATAAATAAACTTAAAGCCTTCCCCACGCTTCTGTACAAGGCACAGAAGCAACACACTAGGCCTACTTTTAATCAAGTTTTCTCGCACACTCTGGCCCCAAATACATGGAGTGATTCACCATGATACCACCTGGATGAGATCAAAACCTAGCAACATCCAAGCACTTCTGGAGTGCTTCATCAAGTGAGCACTGCTGCTACTAGGAAATTCACAAAAGTCAGCCCACAGCACAATTCTTGTCACCAAACACATGCATATAGCTAATGCTGGGACACTAAGACTTACTGTGGGTTTTTGCTAGAGAGAGGGCAGTTGTGACAATTCCTCCTGTTGTGTAACTTGAATTTAATTAGGTACACCCGTGTCCTGCATCACACTTAGCAAGAGAAACAAAAGTGACAGCAGCTTGCAGGCACTATGTTTTGTCTGAACATAGCAGTAGTTTGCAAAGTAGAAAATTTGCAATTGCATTGTTGTTTTTAGCTACAAAGAAGGATTAGAAGGGTGCACCTAATAGCAGCAGAGGCCTGAGCTCTCACCTCCAGCTATTATTCAGTGCAAGGAGGAATACAACAAAAAAGATGCTTTGCATAGGATTCAGCTCAGGCTCAAAACATGCAAAGGGAACTATCCTCATGCATAGGGTTTTGTTTGGTTGTGTTCCATTGGTTTTTCTGTTTGCCATACACAGGCATGCTCCTTGACATGACACTTAGAATCACTGCCTATTCTGAGTTGAAAGGAGCCCGCAAGGATCACCGAGATCAACTCATGCCTCCACACAGGACCACCTAAAATTCAAACCCTGTATCTGATAGATTTGCTCAAACACCCCTTGAACTCCAGCAGCTCGCAGCCATGCCCATTGCCCTGGGGAGCCTGTTCCATGCCACCACCCTCTGGTGAAGAATCTTTTCCTAACATCCAGTCTGACCCTGCCCTGATGCAGCTCCTTGCTGTTCCCTAGGCTTCTGTTGCTGTCACCAGAGAGCACAAATCAGCACCTTCTCACATTCAGCCAGCCATCAGCCACCAGATCCCTTTCTCTAGGGCTTCTCTCCAGCCTCTTATCCCTCACTCTGTACACAAACCAGGCTTATCCTGCTCCACATGCAGAATCCAGCACTTGCTCTTGTTAAACTTCATGCAGTTGGTGATTGCCCAGACCTCCAATTTGTCAAGATCCCTCTGCAAGGCTCTCGAGGGAATCAACATCTCCTCCTAATTTAGTGTTGTTTACAAACTCCAGTACCTATGGACCATAATGCCTTCTAAAACAGTTTCCCATGAGACTTTGCCAACTAATTCCATGAGATGCCTTAAGTCTATTCTCCCCACATCCAGGGTTGAAGTTTTGGTGGCAGTTTTCTTCCTTGCACCAAAGATTTTTAACTCATACTTCATGGTCAGTGTGGACAAGACAGTCCCCAGCTGCCAATTCACTCAGAAAACCCTTTCTGTTTACAAGCACCAAATCAACAAGGTTGTGTTTCCTAGAAAACTCCCTTAAGACAATTGTGGGTGCTCAAAATCATTGTCTTAAGGTAAATGAATAAGTATATAGAAAAAATCCATTAACTGAAGTAAAACAAAATGCTTAGAGTCCCCTTCAAACATGTTCAAGCCACTTTGGCATCAACAAACAAAAGCTTATCATTTACTCAAATGACAGCAGAACAAAACAACAGTGGTCCTAAAAATCAACTGCCAGAGCACAAACATGTCTGCAGCTGTATATGAACACAGCAATCAAAATTCCCTAAGATCCGGTGTACTTACTTTAAGTCTGGTGTTAGTGGTTGGTCCAACGTACTCATGCTGAGCTTTTACAGTTCCCCAGGGATGGTGCACCTTGAAACATTCATTGCAATAGCTTGCACTGCAGTCCATGCAGCTCTTTGTGGATTCTTGAGGTGGAGGTTTGCAGAAGTCACACATAATAGCTATGGCTGCCCTGGCTGCCTGTCGGTGTCGCTCCACAATTGTTTCCAAAGTGAAATTTCGAAATAAGCCATTGACACCACGTTCTCCAAGATCAATATCATGCAGGCAGCCAGGACAAGGAAACATAGTTGTTCTAGGAGTCAAAGAGTTGTGTTTTCTGCCTGTGTAGACAGCAAATCTTGATTAGTAGGAGCATAAACAGAAGAGTTTCAGATAGTAAAAAGAGAAGCGCAAGAATTTATGAACCAATCACAAATTATCATGGGATGTCACCAAACTAATACAGTGCTAATTCATAAACACTCTGCCAAGCCAAAGAGAATAGATTTGCCATGACAAGGTACTATAATGTTTGAGACCAGAGAACATTATGAACTATTCCAAAACTTAATTGTGTCAATATGAAGTTAACTGTTCCAATTCTATCTTCTGCTTCCTGCAGCTGTGCTTTTTGTGTCAACTTTGCCAACAATACTGTTTTTCCTCAGAGCATGTCCTGCACTGCCAGGCATAAATAAAAACAATTTCTCTACTACTCTACTGCTCAGAACTCCTCAGCATCCCTGCATTAAGCACAGGAGGCTGGCTGCCCCAGCTTGTGGCCACCTGCTTCAATGAGACTGAGGGTTCACTCAGAACAAATGTACACCTTCCTAAGCCTAATAACCTCCTATGTTAGTTACACATCATGGGGAACTTAAAAATGGCACTCCTTTCAAAGACGATGCAGCAGTTTGTAGTCTAGTTTGGGATGCATCCAAACGTTGCTTTTTGAAACACTACACATGTACCTCTCAGGAACCAGCCAGCATCAGGCTAACTGGCTGTCTAAAGAGAGACTAACAGCTTGTAACGCATTCCAGTGAAAGACACTTATTCTCACTGAGAGCAGCTAATCCCAGTTCAGAGCTCCCTGAAGTTTTCTTCAGCTGACTTATCTGGGTTATCCCAAGAGAAGCCATAAAAAGAGGAAAACAAGAACTAGCTATTTCCAGTATGAACTATCAGCCAGAACTGTTAGTCAAAATGTGCAGAGGATGACAAAGCTTTTCTCTAGCTGAACAGCCTTCATAAAGGAATAATGCTTAGAAACCCCAAATATAAAGGCTTTTACTATGATGATCAAGTCATTTTGAAAGGGGACTGTGGAGAAGCTCCAAATAGCTGCCCACAATTTTCTCCTCCTCTCTAAAAGAAAAAGACTGAAGGCTCAAATAAAACTGCAAGCTAGAAGAGCCTCTGGAGCATATGCCAAACACTGCTCAAAAGCTACGAACAGCACAGTGTTCTTAAAGCTAGCAAGCAGGAGTGCATCCCTATCTCACTCTTGAACAAGGAAGAACAATGATCACAAAGTAGTCGTTTATGTACCTCTGCAGCAGGCATAGCCAGCATGTCTGCCTAATGCATATTTCCTCTACAAAGAAAAAAATCCAACACCCTCTGCAGAATCACACAGAATCACAGAATCACCTGGGTTGGAAGGGACCTCAAGGATCATGTAGTTCCAACCCCCCTGCCCAGCAGGGCCACCAAACACACATTCAGATCAGGTTGCCCAGGACCCCGTCCAACCTGGCCTTGAACACGTCCAAGGACGGGGCATCCACAACCTCCCTGGGCAGCCCGTTCCAGGGCCTAACCACTCTCCTTGTGAAGAACTTCCCCCTAACATCCAACCTCAATCTTCCCTCCCTCAACTTGGATCCATTTCCCCTAGTCCTGCTGTTGTCAGCCCTTCTGAAGAGTTGACTCCCCTCCTGGGTGTAGGTTCCCTTCAGGTATTGACAGGCTGCAATGAGGTCACCCCGCAGCCTTCTCTTCTCCAGGCTGAACAAGCCCAACTCCCTCAGCCTGTCCTCATAGGGGAGGTGCTCCAGCCCCCTGATCATCTTAGTCGCCCTCCTCTGGACCCTTTCCAAAATCTCAATGTCTTTCTTGTACTGAGGGCTCCACACCTGGACACAGTACTCCAGGTGGGGCCTCACAAGAGCCGAGTAGAGAGGGACAATCACCTCCCTGTCCCTGCTGACCACCCCTCTCCTGATGGAGCCCAGGATCCCATTTGCCTTTCGAGCTGCCAGAGCGCACTGCTGGCTCATGTTCAGTCTCTCGTCCATCAGGACCCCGAGGTCCTTCTCTGCCAAGCTGCTCTCAAGGACCACTCCTCCCAGCCTGTACGGGTGCCTGGGGTTCTTCCGGCCCAAATGCAAAACCTTGCACTTTGCCATGTTGAACCTCATCAGGTTCACCCGAGCCCAGCCCTCAAGCCTGTCGAGGTCCCTCTGAATGGCATCCCTTCCTTCCGCCGTATCAACCGCACCACTCAGCTTGGTGTCGTCAGCAAACTTGCTGAGGGTGCACTCAATTCCCTCATCGATGTCATTAATAAAGATGTTAAAGAGCACCGGTCCCAAGACAGACCCTTGGGGGACACCACTTGTTACCGGCCTCCACCTGGACATAGAGCCATTGACCACCACCCTCTGTCTGCGGCCTTTCAACCAATTGCTTATCCATCGGGTCGTCCACCCATCAAATCCACTTCCCTCCAATTTGGAGATGAGGATGTGGTGGGGGACCATGTCAAAGGCCTTGCTCAGGTCCAGGTAAATGACATCGGTCGCCTTCCCTTCGTTCACCAATGCCGTCACTCCATCATAGAAAGCCACAAGATTAGTCAGGCATGACCTTCCTTTGGTGAAGCCGTGCTGGCTGTCTCGGATCACAGCTCATTCTTTATGTGATCGAGCATGTTGTCCAGGAGGATCTGTTCCGTGATCTTCCCAGGCACGGAGGTGAGACTCACCGGCCTGTAGTTCCCCGGGTCCTCCCTGCTCCCCTTCTTGTATATGGGAGTGACGTGACCCTTCCTCCAGTCATCCGGGACCTCACCTGACAGCCACGACTTCTCAAATATGATGGAGAGCGGCTCGGCAACCACCTCAGCCAGCTCCTTCAGGACCCTGGGATGCACGCCATCCGGCCCCATAGACTTGTATTCATTCAGTCTAAGGAGGCACTCTCGGACTTGCTCTGCCCTTACAGTGGGGAGGGATTTACCTCCTTGGTCCCCACATAGAGGTTTGGGGATGCAGGGTTCAGGGACGGGAAAAAGACTAGAATCCTGGCCACCAGTGAAGACCGAGGTGAAGAACTCATTCAGCACCTCAGCTTTCTCTTCATCTGTTGAAGCCAGTTCTCCTTTTAAATTTACCAAAGTAGGTACGCCTGTTTTGGCCTGTCTCTTCTGGCCAATGTACCTGTAGAAGGTTTTCTTATTGTTTTTCACGTCCCTTGCCAAGTTCAGTTCTGCCTGTGCCTTGGCTTCCGTGATCCCACGTCTGCAAGTCCGGACGGCGTTCCTGTACTCTTCCCAGGTGACACAGCCTTGTTTCCAGAGCTTGTACACCCCTTTCTTCGCCCTCAGTTCTCTCAGCAGGTCCTTGCTGAGCCATGCCGGTTTCCTACCTCACCTGCCCACTTTCTTATTCAGAGGAATGGAGACCTCTTGTGCTTCCAGGAGGGCATCCTTGAAGAGCAGCCAGCTCTCCTCAACATCCTTGTCTTTGAGGGCAGCGCGCCAGGGGATCTTGGCCAGCAATCCATTGAGTAGCTTGAAGTCTGCTTTTCTAAAGTTCAGTGTCCTGATCCTGCTCTTTGCCAGGCCCACATCGCTTGAGATCACAAACTCAAGCAGGGCGTGGTCGCTGGAGCCCAGGCAGCCTCCAACCTTGACGCCTTTGATGATCTCCTCGGCGTTGGTGAGCAGCAGGTCCAGCAACGCTTCACCTCTGGTCGGTCTGTCCAATACCTGAACCAGAAAGCTATCGTCAATGGATTCCAAGAGCCTTCTGGAGCTCTTGCAGCTCGCCATGTGGTTTTCCCAGCAGATGTCTGGATGGTTGAAGTCCCCCACCAGGACAAGAGCCCGTGAGCCAGACATCTCACGCATCTGGAGCAAGAAAGCCTCGTCAACAGCCTCCCCTTGATCAGGTGGTCTGTAGTATACCCCTAACACCAGCTGACCTGTATTAGTCCCATCTCTAATCCTGACCCACAGGCTCTCAACCTGTTCCTGACTGTTTCTCATAGGGAGCTAGACCATGGTTTTAAAATCCCTTAGAGAGGATTTCATTCTGCTGTAGTTAACAAGTTCATACAGGATGTATAATTTTAAACCTGAATTCTTAGTCCTGAAATAAATGAATTCTCTAGAAAGAGAAGTTTGTTCTTAGGTGTATTTAGTCATTTTCTTCCTTTCAAAGGTACTGATGTATCATTTATTTTTGAGCACTCCTTTTACACCAGCTAAAAACGTTTGGCTTCCACTGCTCTTCTGTGGCTGCTTCACCCAACTCTTCACAACTCACCTGCCTACCATGCCTCTTTCAGCCTCTCACCATCTCTCTCAAAGAAGCAACCTAAACAACACTAGCATAGAAGGTGGTTGTTTTGCAAACCTTTGAAATGTGCCCCATGATAGTCATGTATGACCATCAGCTAAGAAGCCAAAACTAAAAGGTAAGTAAGTCTGTGCCAGCTGGCAGCCTCAGTTTCTCAGTCTCGGTTAGTCTGAAGCCCTCCTGTACATACCAACCACAGTACGGCTGACTCAAGTCATCATACACAGCTTTATGGCTAAAGGAAGCAGAGGTTTGGTGTGGATTTTGTGTGTGTGAGATTTGGGTTTTGCTTTTTTCGTTTTGTTTTGTTTTGTTTTTTTCCTTTTGGTTGGTTGGTTCCTTTGTTTTTAACATCTGAAATTTTCCTAGTACTTACTGGAAGCAAATTAATTACCCAAACTGCATGTGCTGTAGTACCTGTAACTTGGCATACACAGCAACACACACATGCAAGGACAGGAGCAGCAGTGAGACACAAACTTTACCTCAAATGTCAGCTCTAAGCTTACAACATTCCACACAGACACCTTTCACACAGGTACCTGCAATGGCCTAAAAGAAAGAGAATTCTGCATACAGCACCATGCAATCAACAGCTACAGAAAGGGACTTGAACTATTTATTAAAACTAAAAGAGTAACAGCACAGCGTCGCATGAATGCCTACAAGCAATTCACTACAGCAGAGAGCAAGCAATGGCAAAACACGGAAGAAGGAAAAAAAAGACAAGACGGTGCAGTGGTCAAGTTTAAAAA